CATCATCATTTATTTATTTATTTATTTATTTCTGAATACTTATTTAAAAGATTTTACTGTCTTTAGGACATAGTTTGAGAGTTTGTTGAATTTTGTATGTGTGTATGCAATATTCCAGTTTACTTTTCAGGGCTCTATTATTTATTTATTTCCCTTTTTAGTCTGCCAGCCATATTGCTTCCAATTCCAAGGCAAGTGCAAAAATGAAGAAGGACAATATGAAGTATGCTAGTTGGGCTGCAAACCAAATCAACAGAGCTTACCAGGTGAGCATTGTTTTAAACTTTGATGTAGTTTGTGTTCTGTATGTTGTTCAGTTATATATGTATTGGACTTTTATATTTTGTATGTATTTTTGGAGAAGCAAAAAGAGGTCAGTTTGGGGAAGTCAGAAAGAACTTAATACACAAGGGTCATCACCTATTTTTTTTTTTAATTCTTAAATAGATGAGACTGCCATAATCTTCAATTGTGTGATTTTGATTTGGGAACACAATGAATCATTTTGCATCTGCCTTTGTACAAATGTGATACTGATTGAACTATCAAGATAAATGTTATAAATTAATTTCTAGCATTATTGCCATGTTCCATCATGATAGATGGTCTAAAAATCCAGCAAATTTAACCTCAGTTTAATAAAAGAGACTATTTAGTTGGATGATTGGGTAGATTTAATGCATTTTTAATTATTGAGATATTTTGAACAGATCCATCAGATTCTGATAAAAGTATGTAATGCAAAATAATTATGTGACTGAAAGGGAAAGGGAAGCAGTATATGTATAAAGCAGATAAAATTTAAAGTGAAGGACTGATACTAATTTCTTAACAATGCTATTAAATTTCAGTTGTGTTAAATTAGGTACTTACCCGCTGCACGTGTGCTTTATTTCTGAATCTAGTGATATAAACTAGAAAATGCAGTTTTATTTTTACACATTTATGAGCTTTAACTATTGTGAAGTTATGTTGGAGTTGGATCAAAACAATAAGCTGGCCCCTCTTTCAGTTGATACTTACCAGAACAGTTCACATTTTACACAAGTAAAATATATGTAAAACAAATGTCAGAACTTCTTTGTGACTTCATATGTTTGCGATGTATTGCATACTTCAACTGTTATTTAGCAGAAAAGTGACAAATACCATATCTAGCTGAAAACTACAATGGGAATTTAAGAATGCAGGATACAATTATGTTAGAAAAATTAGAAATTGGCCAGAATCTCAGATTTTCACCCAACTGTGATGAAAAGTACCATATGAGTCATACTAAATAAAGATTAAAACTTACCTGATCTGTGTGCACTACATAGTTTGGTCTGTTCCATAATACCATCCTAAGCACACCAGTCTTGTCTATTTTTAAAAGCTGAATCCCACTCCCTCTGGTTTCCACAGTAAATTTACTTCAAGTAGCTCTATGTATGTTCTCAAACAGTTTAAACTCAATGAAGTTTGAGCCTGTGAAGAACACTTGTGGAGAAATACTAACCACTATTAGTATATGGGTGGGAGGCCTCCAGGGAATATGTTTAGGCCTAAAAATGAATCCTGCCGGAAACCTGGAGAGTAATTAAGTATGTACAGTGGTGCCTCGTATAACGAGTGCACCGTTGAACGATAAATCCGCATTGCGATGCGGATTTCCCCATCGCTAATGTGAGGGCATGCTCGCATTACGATGGGGGAACAGCTGTTCAGCGGTTCCAAAATGGCCGCCGGAACACAAAAAATGGGTGCCGGTACACCCAAGATGGCTGCCGGGACTCTCAAAATGGCCGCCGGTACAAGCAAGATGGCCGCCAGAACACAAAAAAATGGCCGCCGGCACACCCAAGATGGCCGCCGGAACACAAAAAATGGGCGCCGGTACACACGAAATGGCTGCGGGGACGCTCAAAATGGCCGCCGGTACACCCAAGATGGCTGCCGGAACAAGGGAAAACATCGGAGAACGGTGAGTTTTGGGCCCATTTGGAACGCATTAAACTTTGTTTAATGAGTTCCAATGGGTTTTTTGGATCCGTTTTACGATGTTTTCCCATAGCGAAGGTTAATCCGGAATGGATTAACCTCGCTATGTGGGGCACCACTGTACTTAATATATACGAGGAGCCTCGGGCCTTCTCAGCAGTGGCTCCTCGCCTTTGGAATAGCCTCCCTTCTGAGATCTGTATGACCCCTTCGCCTGGGCATCTTCAAAGGCCAACTGAAAACCTGGCTATTTAGGCAAGCCTTCCCTCCAGCCACTTCTTGATTTAATTTGTTCTTCCATCTTGAGTTCTTGTCTATTGATGCATTTCTTTGTTCCTATATTTTAAGTTGTTTATTTTATATGTTGTTAGCCGCCCAGAGTAGTCAGTTGACTAAATGGGTGGGGCACAAATTAAATAAATAAATAAATAAATAAATAAATAAATATGCTGTACTGAGATTTCTTTTTACTCAGAATAAAGTTTTCTATGTTGCTATGCATTTGAAACTACTACAGAACCTAAAAGTTCCAGCAAATGGGCTAAGAACTTAGTAGGCAGCATTCTTATGATGGTGTGGACTTCTTGGATGCTCTGCTAAAGGTTACCATCTTGTGAGAAAAACTGTGAAGTGTTGATATGCCAGATGTTCCTTCATTTAGGAGGGAGGGTTATAGCAAGATATATAAAAGGTAAATAGCTTCACAGTGGATGGTTTTGCCCCTAGCAGAGCATGTGAGAAATACTGCTTTGTAAAACCCACTGATCTTTAGGACACGTCTCTCAAAGAGGGTACTGTACAGTGCTTTGGTTTATGGGGTTAGAGGTGAAAAGACAACAGTCTCTATCCATGGTGGCCTCTCCATTGAATTTCAAAACCTGAAAAAAGAAATCAAGAGTTGGCTATCATGTGAGAACACTCCCTGTGTAGAGACTGCTTTCCTTTTCAGATGTAGCTCTCCCCACATGAGAGCTCGGATGGAGCAAGGGGCAGATTTGCTTGCTTTATATGCCGTTTTAAAAAAAGTAATAAAAGAAAAATTACAAATAACAAAATTAAAACTAAAATACAAACTCAGTGGTGACTACACACAATACACATTGAATGTTCCCCACCAGTGCCACCTTCAACCCTTGGGACGAGGTGGCCAATAATACCAGTTTATACCCCTTCAGTATGCCTTTTATTGAAAAGCTGAATTGGAGGGCCATTGTCAATAGTGCTCTACTATGAGGCTGCAGCCTAGAAGGCATCAGTGTTCTTGTTTATTGTGAGGAGTTGTTATTTTGATAAGTTTTTTCTTATTAAAAACATTTGGTTAGTATTTCTCCAGAATTGTTCTTCACAGGGTCAAACTTCATTGAGTTTAAACTGTTTGAGAACATACATAGAGCTACTTGAAGTAAATTTACTGTGGAAACCAGAGGGACTGGGAATACAGGCCTTTTGAACTAAGGGTGAATTGTTTGTTAATATAGTTTCTTAACTATCCTTACAGTCATAAAAAGAATATTACATGATGCCTCCTTTACAAAGTCTATATATGTTTGACTTGGGACAAAGGGCCAAGCCATCAATGGTCTGGAATACAAGTGGCATATAGTGGAACAATATCTGTGGCATTTTTTGGTCCACTAGATGTATTATGCAAATAAGCTGATAAAACTTTAGCCAGCTGCAATAAACCTACACCACTAAATTAGATGACTCCTCTGGTGAGTTGTGTTGCTTCGCATCCAAACAGTGTAGTTTCATGTAGATAATTAACTTTATTATTACTGTTATTGTTCTTATTATTGTTGTTGTTTATTTGTTTGTTTAACTTATGTCTGTCCTGGAAGTCTTTAGCGGAAAAGGCTTAGTTTGTTTAGTGCTTAGCACTAAACAAGAGGGGAGTTGTCATTATCTGCTTAATATTTAGCAGCAAAAACAAAAATATCCTGTGGCACTGTAAAGAATGAAGAGGTTTATTACAGGATGAGCCTCCGTGGACTGTACCTTATATTCAAGATAATGTTCCATGAATAGATTCCTGCTATGAAGGGTTTTCGGACATGCTGCTAAACTGTTTAATGTGAGGAGGGATCCATCTATCGTTCTTCAGTTCTGAAAGTGATTCTTTTATAAATCACAGAGGCCAAAAAAGTGAAATCATTACTTCAAACAGAAGGGGAAGTAAAACTTCATTTTAAACTGAACTAATGCCTAATGCTAAACTAGACAAAATAATTGGTCATTTAACTGTAATTTGGAGTGATTTAGTTGTCTAACTGGGGCTTTATTTATTGTGACACTCTTTAGCTTTGTTTGTTTTAACTAAATGAATATGCCAGTGTCATTAAAGGGAGCCATTCTTCAAGTTAACAGGAAGCATTCTGCTTGTTAATGTCTTAGGTCAAGTTTGTTCTAAGTGTCTGTAAAATAGACTAGGCAAAGCTCTCGATACCTCCATTACTTTGGATTAGTGCATTTGGGCAATTTCCTTTACGTTTTATTAAAAGCATGTTTTAAAAATTAGGCTTTTTCTATGATTCAGAAGATAGACCTCTGTAAATATTCGAGGCTATTCCCATTTTTCTTTGAAATATATAATTTCTTGAGTTTGAGTATAGCTGAGAAGGGGTCAAAGGCAGGTTAGCAGTTCCTGAATCTTGTTTCAGCTGGGATATTACCTGTGTGATCACAAAATTTTGTCAACAGGTCATGAGACATTTGCTAAATTGAGTTAATTACAAGAAAAGAGGAACACATTATAAATCAGAGAATCTAGTGTGCAGAACAGCAGTAGTATCTAAAGGAAAACAGCATTGAACTGAAAATTTATTGAGTGCTCTGATGTTAATGTTTAGTTTGAGAATAGTTGCTTTAGTAAAAAGAAAAAAATAACATCTGGTAGGCACTTGAAAAGAAATTAAATATTCTAACGGATATTATGTATTTGTTTTTCCAGCTCACTAAAATATAGAAACACATGGTGTGGACCAAATGATATGTTAGATACCTTTCTTGCACAGATTTAATTGAAATGAAAGGAGTGTGCTTGAACACCATAGTATAATTCCACAGTACATTTACAAGAGAAATTCTTGGTAGACTATATCCCGGATTGATCAAAATCTGTTGTGCAGAGTCAGACTGAATGACAGAAATAAGTTCTACAGTTAAATGATTTGGGAACAGCCCACTTGGGTGTTATGTGTAAATTGTTTGAAGTTAATAAAGAAGAGCAGCTCAAATGATCTTGTGTTTCTCCTTTCCTACACATGGCCTTTTGACCCCCAAGTGTCCCAGTAGCTTATGCATTTCAGAATACCATGGAATACTCAACAACCCAACCAGCATAAACTGACTTAAATCAGAGCAATTTAAATCAGTGAGTCAACAAAAGAATGGTTGGTTTAAATTCAAACAGTGATGCAAATCTCTCTGCAAAACCATGTTAAATTATAACTAAATAGATTTCTGATTATTTTACATTATTCTAGACCTTGCATGACTCCACTCTAAGAGTTTTCCTTACCTTTCTTTTCTGCCTACTAAGGGTAATGTCTTTAAAATATTCCAATGTAAGACCAGTCTTATATTGATAGCCATGGCAGATTGTGATGTTAAGTAAGAAGAACATTCACATTTGGCAATTTGACTTCTCCAAGTCACTCCAATATTCCTCCCTTCTGCATCATGCTATCTCATTTATTTATTCGTTAACCATATACCATATTTTTCTGCCAGAAAAAGGAAAAGAAAGAAACTCAGAGAAGATAGCAAACGAACATGAATTCCATAACAGGAATTACTCTTATTATTAAGTCATATTTAAATGTTAAGTCTCTTTTTGTTCAGTGGCAATATGTGGACCTGCTCCTAAAATGGGGTGGACAGTCTTTGGGGCTAGGGGGTACTTTTCAGGCTTGCCAGAAACCGAAGAGCTGCTCACTCAAGGAGGGGGACCAGACACTGATTTGTATGCATTTATTTATTTGTAATGCAGTGGTCATTTACCACAATAGGTTTTTAAAATCGTAAAAAAACCTTTAAAAATTAAAATAAAACTTTAGCACGTCTTTGGCTGGACAAAGTAAATAATTTTTCTAAAAAATTATTACAAAAAAGAGGGGGATGGGGTGCTAGGGTTCCTCAGAACATGGCAGAATTACCCTCCACAAGGACCTCCACACTGACATAAGGATTTGTCTTTTTAAGAATTTGGGGGGGAGACTAAGGGGGGAGCACATGTAACCCATCCGTTTCTTAAGCCATATTATCTACTGGTCCGAGATACCTGTGGCCCTCCTCATAATGTTGGATTCCAACTCCTATCCAGCTCAGTTAGCTTGGCCAGTGTGAGATATGATGGGAGTTGTAGTGCAGCAACATTTGGGGATGACAGATTCCCTACTCCGAGTTTATTGAGGCAAAAACAAACAGTGAGCCTTACATTCATATTCTCCTTCCCTGTCGCCAAATCAACTGTGAGACAATGATTATAAATACTTATTTCTGATTTAAATAAATCATGTTAGTCTGTTTCCTGAATCCAAAACTGTACTAATGCTAAGTATAGCATGTTTAGCAATGCAACTTTAAATAATCTGTGGTTTGAAGTTGGCTTGCTTCAGACAAAGCATACTTAATAATAAACGTAGTTTGTTGCTTTTTAGACAGCACAGCAAGCTGTGGTCTAGTGTAGTGGAAGGATAATCAGACGTTTCAGCAGAGACAGATTGGGGAGGGATGGAAGAAATACACCAACCTGGCTGGAAGCTAAACTTACTAATATATTGACAAACTAAGATTTAATATTCCATGCCCTAGTATATTGTATCTTGGAGAGTTTAGTTTAGATGTGAATTATAGGGTTGTACAGTGGCACTGAAGTAATTTAAAGAGAACCCTGTTAACATGTTCATAGCATAGCCATTTCCAACTGAGAAATACTGGTGGTTAGTTGTATTTAATTGTGATATATTTAGATTTCATATATTACCTTTTTGTCTTCTGGTAAACTCTTCACTTTACATACAGTCAACCCTCGATTTACAAACTTAATCCGTTCCGGAAGTCAGTTCATAAATCGGAAAGTTCGTAAATCGAGCCAGCAGTCCCCATAGGAATGCATTGCATACCAATTAATCCATTCCGGCCGAAGTCCTCCCATGGAAAAGCTTGTTTGGAAAAGCAAGCCGGGCAGCCGGGGAGAAATCAGCTTCCTCCTTTCTTTCACCCGATGCTGAGTCCCCTTCGAGCCGGCTGAGCTCAGCCTAGCACGAAGGGGACTCAGCATCAGGTAAAAAGAGGGATACTTACTCCTTTCTTTCACCCAATGCTGAGTCCCCTTCGATCCGGCTGAGCTCAGCCTAGCACGAAGGGAACTCAGTATCGGGTAAAAAGAGGGATCCGATTTCTCCCCAGCTGCCTGGCTTGCTTCCAAAGCCAAAAAGGCAGGGAGAAAGGGCGGGAAGTTCGAACTTCCCGCCCTTTCTCCCTGCCTTTTTGGCTTTGGAAGTTTCAAAGGGCTTCCTTCGATGTTGGAGGAAGCCTTTTGAAAGCTCCAAAGGTAGGGAGGAAGGGCAGGAAATTTGAATTTCCTGCCCTTTCTCCCTGCCTTTTGGGTTCGTAACTCGATCTGCATTCGCAAGTAGGGTCTGCTACTTGCGATGAGATTGGGTTCTTAACCCGAAATGTTCGCAACTAGGGCCATTCGTAAGTCGAGGGCCCATTGTATTGGCTAAAAATTGCAGGGCATGTGTTTGCTGTTTTGTGTCTAAGGGAATAGATTTTCACCCATGAAATAAATCTGTTAATCTTTAACGACCATTTAAATATATATATATTTTTGGTTTCCCCCAACCCTTTTCTTTTGTTAAGATACTGAGATGGAGTTCCCTTTATACTGGCTTACCTTTAAAGTGTTTATTTTCCTTTAAACATTTGTTTATACAGTGCAGTACATAATATAAAATGGCTTATTATGCATGTTGTTGACAACTTTTGAAAGCATTTATGCAACACCACCAAAGAAAAAGTTGTTAACTTTTACATTACAAATTTGTGTTAGAACTAGGTGCAGTGAGTTGAGCTTAATCGTGCTGAAATTAAAGGGACTAGAAAACTTGCAGATTAAGTAAGAATTCTCTAATAGAAATACATTCTTTTAAAAAATGGGGCTTGTTCCTAGTAAATGCCTATAGCTAGAATCCCAAGCATAGTATCTTAAACATCCACAGACCCTGCCTTTGATAGCTGTAGAATGTTGTATATTCTCACTTCTACAGTATGGCATGGAATTGTAGACTTTAGCACAGCTGCAAAAAAGCAGAAGCATTTGACATGTGGATTTATCATAGGATGTCAATAATTTCTTGGATCAAGAGGCTGACCAATCAAAAAGTACTAAAGCGAATGAATAAGAACCAGAATTTAAAAACCTATAGAAAATGTAGAAAGCTAGAATTCTTGGATCACATAATTAGAAAAAGTACTGACTGTTGTAGCTGATTATTGAAGGCAAAATAAATTAGGAAAGAAACTCAGGAAGGAGAAGAATTTTCTGGCTAAAGCTGAGTGGATTTATTTATTTATTTATTTGTTTGTTTGTTTGTTTGTTTGTTTGTTTGTTTGTTTGTTTTATTTTATTTTATTTTATTTTATTTATATCCCGCCTATCAGGTCGTGTTAGGACCACTCTAGACAGCTAACAACATAAAAGTAATACAATAATATACATATAACCATTTTACATAACAAAAAAAAATACTAAACAAAATGGGAGAGCTATAGGAGAAGGGAAAAGTCGTCAGGAGTTATCTGTTGGGAAGGCCTGCCTAAACATCCATGTTTTTAATTGTTTCTTAAAAATTATTTGATTTAATTATTGATTTAATTATTTAAATTACTACTAAACTAATTACTACTTAGAAATTATTTAAATACTGGTACATTCTTCACAAAGTATACTTTTGCTTGCTATGACTTTTAATTCTTAGTATTCGTGATACATATTTTTCAAACTCTTTTTCCATAGCCATTGTTTTATGTGATTATCCTTTCCACTTTCTCAGAATTTCACCTATGGTAACTGGTCCAGAAGGGCTGGGGAACAAAGCCTTCATCTGGATCCAACTCTCTATATTTTATTGAATCATCCCCTTACAATTAAAGTTTTGAGTTTTCTGTTCTCAGATGTTAAAACTGCCACTGGACTTCTTTGGTAGCCTGTAGACCAGAGGTCCCTAACCCCCATTCTGCGGCCCGGTGCCGATCCGTGGCCTGACTTGGACCGGGCCGCCGAGACAGACCTCCCGCTCTCACCCCCGCACAAGACCATGTCTTCAGATGTAAGAGTCTGTCTATGAAGAGGTGAACTTGTTCCTTGAAAGCTCATATTAAATATAGAAGTTCATCTGTATGGTGCCACATCTTTGTTGTCTTTAATTTTTTATTTTTTTTTTTGCTTTTGTTTTGTGTTTCTTGTTGATATGCTTGCAAAAACTAACATGGCTCCTTCTTCGAAAACCACGCTAGTTCTGCGGCCCGGTGCCGGTCCATGGCCTTAGCCGGAACCGGGCCGCCGAGACAGACCTCCTGCCCTCAACCCTGCACAAGACCATGTCTTCAGATGTAAGAGTGTGTCTATGAAGAGGTGAACTTGTTCCAAAGGGGCTGGAGAACAAAGCCTTCATCTGGATCCACCCCTCTATATTTTATTGAATCATCCCCTTACAATTAAAGTTTTGAGTTTTCTGTTCTCAGATGTTAAAACTGCCACTGGACTTCTTTGGTAGCCTGTAGACCAGAGGTCCCTAACCCCTATTCTGCGGCCCGGTGCCGATCCGTGGCCTGACTTGGACCGGGCCGCCGAGACAGACCTCCCGCTCTCACCCCCGCACAAGACCATGTCTTCAGATGTAAGAGTCTGTCTATGAAGAGGTGAACTTGTTCCTTGAAAGCTCATATTAAATATGGAAGTTCGTCTGTATGGTGCCACATCTTTGTTGTCTTTAATTTTTTATTTTTTTTTTTGCTTTTGTTTTGTGTTTCTTGTTGATATGCTTGCACAAACTAACATGGCTCCTTCTTCGAAAACCACGCTAGTGGGGACTTCTAATTATTGCAATAATGGGCCCTTGAAATGAATACCTTAACTGTTAAATGCGGGTATGAGGTGCTAAAGATGCATTTCTGTGTTGGAGAATCATTGTAGTTATTTGGTTGTCATGGTACTGATTTAATTTTGTTTTCTAGTTTTAATAAAATGAGTGCATTTGTTCTTCTCTTCCCATAGTATGCTGGTCGCAGTAAGAAGGAAACGAAGTACTCTTTGAAAGCTGTAGAAGATATGTTGGAGGCCTTGCAAATCACCCAGTCATAAACCATAACACAGCTGCCCAACAATAGACTTCTTTTTCTAACTTCATGTCCAGTCATCTGAACATTATGTTGATTTTAAATTGCTACTTGTGTTAATAGTGGTTTCATGTTAGCAAGAATGACTATCTTAAATAATATGTTTTATAAAGATACGGTTCCTATTTATTGCTGCTCTGATGAAAAGCCACTGAAAGAAATAAAAATAAAATAAAAGGAGTGTGTTTTATTGAACATTGTTTTCTTTAGATCTTCTGTGTACAGTAGGTGCTTAAGTCCATAACTTAATGCAGAAATAAACTTAAGTGATGATAAAACATGATGATTTATTGTACCTAAGTAGGAGTGCTGGAGACCTGTGCATAGAAATGAATACCATATGGTGCATACAATTTTCTAAACAGAACAGTTGATAGAACAGTACTAAAAGTATGTGTATGGTAAACAGTTCTTCATGATATATACCAAATTGAGATAGAGCAATTATTGTTCCTGGAGATTCTTTATTACAAATTAATGTAAATATCAGTAGTTGTTATGGCCTTATACTTCAAAATAGCAGTAACATAACATTTGTGTCCATACATTTAATTTTACAAGGTTAAATACTGACTTTTAAGTGATGCTCTGTCTGGAAGCTATTCTTCCTGTGCAGTTACTAAGGTCACAAATAAAATCTCTCTGTGTGCTTCAGGCAGCTTACATGATTCCTACACATTAAAATATTTTGATTACGTAATGAGAAACAAAAAGTACAGAACTTGTATGTCCTCCTATTTATACTGAATTGATTTTGCACACTGTCTTGAGGTTTTCACCCTGTTGTTTAAAATTGAGTCCAATGGATCAATACACTTCTGTGTGGTTAAAAATAATACAATGATTAATCTACTTGAGCAGCTTGTTAAATCCTGGCAAGCTGCCTCAGACATATGACTATGAATATGTAGCCTCCAAAATGTCCTATCATTAATTTCTCTCCGCTGTTTTTTCACCTTTTGGAATTAAGGCTGTGGTTTTCTTTATGGGGTTATTCCATCTCACTTTTGGTCCTCTTTTCCTACTGCCTTCAGCTTTTCCCACTGTATTTTCCAGTGAGTCTTATGTTCTCATGTTTATGCTGAAAACACAACAGTCTCATTTAGACTTCTGCAATAGCTCTGTTGTAAATAGTTTGTTTTGCTTACCTATGTCTTTTCTTCTAAGTCTTGGGTTTTGATACTTGGATAAAAGCATCCAGAGAAATTTCCTTCAATCTATGTAGGATAATCTAGTTCAAATTTTCATCCTAACAGAACTAGTGGATTTTTGCTTTGTGAAGAATACTATTAGTTATTGATTCTGCTTGAAGGCTTCCTAGCATAGAAGCATTTTATGTAGAATAAGTAATGCTTTAATTCTTCTATCTCTAGATGTTCCTTTAGAACAGGACACATACATATTTTCCAGGAAAAGCAACGTTTCCACATCTAAATACAGCCACAGCGCAAACCATTAGAATAAGGTATAAACACAACTTTTGTGTACAAAATCCCAAGCTCCTGCCAACAAAAGGTTGCAGCTTATTGTTATCACAGGAACCTTGGCAAACACAAGGAGAAATTCATTGATTCCCCCCTCCCCGTGATTTGGCTAAGAGGGTAACGTTTTCCATTAGGAGAAGGGGGGTGGATGTGCAGTGGGGTAGAAGATTCTACATCAACATACTCTTACAGATTTAAAAGTTATGTGTGTATAAGTATTTTGGCAGTGTTTACATTTTTTATTATTTCATTTAAACAAATTGTTCATCTTTCAATCCGGAAAGGCTCCCAAGGAGATATACTGTACAGCAAACAATAGCATTTTTGCTACTGCGCTTCAGGTTCTCAAGAAAAGAGATTAGCACAGTGAACATCCTGTAGGTCTTTTGCAGAAGAGCAAGTTTTTAAGGAACTCACTTCTCACAACACAATTCCCTACATCCTTCACTGTTACCTTTACAACATAGTTTTTTAGATTTTCTTCTGAATCAGCAATATATGCTTTGTACTTTCCCGTAAGCTAGAATTAAATGCTTCTCTTTTTTTGGCTTTCAATCCTGGTTTGCAATGCAAGTGTGAAACATAGTTTGCCAGTTTTGCTCATTTGAATGAGTAAGTTGAAACTCTACAGCAGCCTAAGGATTGTGGGAAATAGAGAGGAAATGTCATTCTGCAATTCTACTGTTATTTGAAGACTGATCCACTTATTACTAAACTGGCTTCAATGTTGCATCTGAATTGCCGTATTTTTTGTGTATAAGACACTATTTTTCCTAAAATCATTACACTAAAAATTGAGGGGCATCTTATACACAGAAGTAAACTGAGAACAAAATGGCCTGTACCTTGCCTCTGTAAACAGGCTTCCTTCAATCACGAGGCTCAGCTTCCTAAAATCAGAAGCCTTAGCTTCCTCCAATCACAAGCCTTATGGAACTGACATCAGCTAATGCTGAATAAACCAATTGGAACAAAATTCATTGGCGGTGGAGTCTGTATGCTCAGATTCAACAGGGAATCAAAATGTCTGAGATTTCTGAGCCCAGAGGCTGACTACTCTTAAGTTTTCTTAATTTGGGGGTTAGAAAAGCGGGGTGGAGGGCATCTTATAAATGGAAAAATACGGCAACTCTGTTTAGTCTAGATATTTATTTAACCATTTGTAACCTAAAGGCACAGTTACAAAATGGGGGGTACTTGGCTTAAGAATGCTACATGTGACAAGATTTTAGAATTATCATGTATCACAAGTTGAATATGAGCCAACTGTGATGTGGCTGCAAAAAGGAAAATGCTATTTTAGGATGCATTTGGGAAGTGCGATGTAAACATGAGACAGGCTATATATGATTACAGGAACTTGGGGTAGACTGGAGGGGCGGAGGGGAGTAGCCATTGTTTATAAATCCATCTTGGAGGTTACTAGGCACTCCTCAGTAGTAGAGGCACTCAGCCACTTCCCTTCCGGTGCTGGCAGACCTTGTCTCTGCGGTGTTGTTGGGTTCCCCAAGATTTTTAGTTTTGGGTGATTTCAAGGTGCACATGGAGGCAGAGGCTTCTGGGCCAGCTCTTGAGTTCCTGAAAACCATGGCTTCCTTGAACATGTCCCAACATGTCAGTGGCCCCACCCACATGGGTGGTCATATGTTGGACCTGGTCTTTTCCACCAATTGGAGGGAATGTGGTCTGATGGTGACTGACCTTGTGTTGGTCCCCTTGTCATGGTAAGATCACCACCTAATAAAATGTAACCACTCAATGGCTCCCTCCCCCTCGCAGGGAGCAGGGACCTATTTCTGTGGTCTGCCCTCGAAGACTACTGGATCCTGTTGGATTCCAGGATGCCATGAGAGGCACTCCTGTCGAGGTTCTGGTTGACAGCTGGTCTACCGCTGCCACTAGGGCTATAGACACGATTGCACCTAAACCCACTCTCCAACGCAGAGCTTTGCCTGCACCCTGGTTTAACCAGGACCTTCGAGCAATGAAGCGGTTTAGGAGAAGGCTAGAGCATAGGTGGAGGAAGAACCTGACGGATTATAATTGGATAGCTGTCAGGGTCGCAACTAACCTTTACCTGACTAAGGTAAAGGCGGCTTGTCGTACATACTTTGCTAACCGGATAAGCAAAACTTTAGCAGGCGGAGTTTGCCTGCATCCTGGTTTAACCAGGACCTTCGAGCAATGAAGCGGTTTAGGAGAAGGCTAGAGCATAGGTGGAGGAAGAACCTGACGGATTATAATTGGATAGCTGTCAGGGTCGCAACTAACCTTTACCTGACTAAGGTAAAGGCGGCTTGTCGTACATACTTTGCTAACCGGATAAGCAAAACTTTAGCAGGCGGAGTTATTCCGTATAGTGCGCGACCTATCCAGAATTGGTCTGAGTGACAGATCTCCCCCTAGTTTTTCACCGGACCAATTTGCGGTATTTTTAAAATCTAAATTAGAGGCCATCCGCCGGGAGCGCTCTCCTTTTTTGAATACAGTGAGTTGAGCTGAGATGTCCAGCGCTCCGTCTTGCCCGGTAACTTTCGATTCCTTTCAGCCTGTGATGCTGGATACTGTGGACAAGGTGCTTGATCACAGTCAGGCCACCACCTCCTCCCTTGACCCTTGACCAGCCTGGCTAATCAAAGCAGCCAGGCTGATAACAGAATGGGCCACAGCAATAATAAATGGGTCTTTCCTTGAGGGCAGGTTCCCTGGCTGCAAAGAGTGGGGTTCGCAGCTTGGGGATACATCTGGACCCGATGCTCACATGGAAATTCAGGCGGCATCGGTAGTCCGCACTGCCTTTTTCCATCTCTGGCGGATAGCCCTGCTGTGACCCTATCTTGACACGGGAGCGCTCACCACCTTGGTGCAAGCACTCATCTCAAGATTAGACCACTGTAACGTGCTCTACTTGAGCTTGCCTTTGAGGCTGATGCGGAAATTCCAGGTGGTGCAGAATGTGGCGCCCAGACTTCTTAGTGGAGCAAGAAAATACCAGCATATTTCTCCTATTCTGCTGCTGTGCAAAAATGCCTTGTTAGGATGCATTGTTCTAGCTTGGTGTAGAACAAAAGTGAGAAATCTCCATCCAAAGAGGGCTGGTGGGTGGAGACAAAAGCAGGGGATCAAATATATCAGGATATTTAAGATGTAATATGGATAAACTATCAGAATGGCTAAACTCAACAAGAAAGACAAATCATGAAGATTGTTGGCATAAACTGTATGATTGGCTTTGAAATATAATGCAAATTAATACTTAATAATTGAAAACCTAAGATCAATTTAGAATTAGAATATGTATTATAAATTAGTTACACTGGAAACTTATGTATCTGAAATGTAATAGATAAGAATGAATATTGTAAAATGTTCATGTTGATTTACAACCCCTGTTTAATCCCATGTCCTCTGTCCCCATCCCTAACCCTATAAAATAAAACTTTTTTTAAAATGATATTTAAGTTGAAAGTAATTTTCTCTCTGGGTGCCATCTTGGTTGCTGAAGTTGCTACCATCATGGCATATCCCTACCTATCTCTCATGGTGTAGATTAGTTGTTCATTAAGGTTCAAATAATCTCTGATGTTATCCACCCATGCAATCCAACTTCTACATCCTCTGCATTTTCCCTAACTCCTTGTGTATTAAACAGGGTGGCGGCGGCAGACTCAGTGAGCTACTGGCCCCTTCCAACTTTGTTATTCTATGCTTCAATGATCTCTCTCCTGCAGTATATTGGGTTTGTGTTGTTGAATTATGTGTCCAAGATATGGAATTTCTTGTTTCTTAATAAT